CTGCAGCCGCAGAGCATCGACTCAGGCGCAGCACCGCAAGTGAAGCAAAGTCAACCTGCTGAGGATGCTGCTGCTCACCGTCCGTCTAATATAATCTTATACACTCAAAATTGCTCGTATTAAACATTCTTATGTGGATTCTTTGTATTCCTTGAGTTAATTCATCCACTTAATCCTTATTCAGTGTCATGTCATGTTACTTCTTCTGCTTATTAGTGATCCTCATGTCCTAATTCAGGTATTTTTCCTAGTACCCTGGCTAAGATCTAGATAAATTCTTTACCACTGTTTAGTTGCAAAGCAGTTCATCTTCTGAATCCCGCCCAAGTCTTAACTCTTCTCAGTCTTTCTTCAGTCTTAAATCACTTCTTCTGTATTATTTTTTCACTCCTATATCAGTTTATTTTTTTAATTCTTTTTAAATTTTGAATCAATCCTCCACTCTTTGTATCTATCGGGAAGAAGACGCCCCGTTTGTTTTTCTGTTTGGGGTTTCGGTGTTCGTGTTGCACAGTTGAGGATGTGCTCTTGTGAGGTGTACAGACGAAGTGTAAAGTATATAACTAAGAGCTTTCTGTGTCTTGTTGTGTTCAGAGGTGGTCAGCAGCAACCCCTTGACCGACCCCTTCTTCTGGTTCTCCTTCATACTGCCGGATGCGGCGCTTGAGGCAGAGGCAGCAGAGCGTGCTGCACCAGGAGACGCAGCGACAGAGGGGCCCCTCGGAGCTGCTTTTTCAAAGGGTTTTAACGTCGTAGAATACCCCCTGCCCCCCCACCCAGGCTCCCGCCCTATGAGGCGGCACCAGGCGCGAAACCTCTCTTACAACGCGAGGTAGGACATCCAGCTAAAGGCCAAACTTTTTCTCAAATCAAGGAATTATTATTATCATTATTATTATTATTAGGATTTTGTATAAATAAGGGTTTGTGATCACAATGCTTTGTGCCGTGCTGCAGCATTTCGGATTTCCTTGGGGCCGAGGCACTGCAGCGGCTAGAAGCAGACTGCCCTCAGCTGCGACTGACAGTACGACGGCTCAAACAGAAAGAGCCGCCGA